ATATATGGAGCTTTAATAAGTTGTACCTATGTACAATTTACTTGTAATCTTGAGTTTTAAGTAATATGCATTAATAAACAGTACTTTACGCATAAAAAATGGTTTTTAAGAGTTTTTATCAAATGATTTATAATATATAATATTTTTTTATATATTATTTAATTTAAGTAATAATAAAATAATTTATTTTTGGTTTAATATTATAAATTTTATAAAGATAATAGTTAAGTATTCTGTTAGAATTTAATGATTATACTAATTATATTTTAGATTTTTTATATTTAAAATGAGATGTTTATCATGTATTTGATTGTGTTTATCTGCAGTTAGTTACACGAATTCATATATGAGATGAAATCGGATAGGGATGAATGAGTTTTTAAGAGTTTTAGTCAAATATTTTATAAGATAGTATAGATATAGATATTATTAAACCGAAAATTATATTATGTTATTTTTTTTCAAATTTATATTTTATTTAAGAATATTTTTTTTAAAACCACATAAAATTATATTCTGTCGTTGATAGAGAAAAGAATAAAGCGAAACATTAACATCGATATGTATCTTGCTGCATTGCACGAGTACCTTTCTAGTAATATCAAAACTAATTAAACTTGTTTTTGTTAAAACTTAAAATAAGTCAACCAATCATCTTATTAATAATCAGATATCCAAAAGAAACTCGACATTTTCATCAGTATTTAAATCCTAACCAACTGAATAACAAACCAAATCCATGAATTTATGTATTGGCTGAAAGGTGACCATCCACCCTACCAACATAAGCAAAACATAATGAAGCACCACATATCTAAAATACAAAAATCAGTATTTAATTTCTTTAACTGTTTATCGATCAAAATTAAGTATTTAAAATCTCTTATCCTAATAAAAAAAAGTATTTCATCTTAAAACATAATTCGTTATATTTTATTATATGGAGATTAATTAAAATAACCATTTATCTCCCAATATTTAAAAAATGTCACTACTTTCACAAGTCCTTAACTTGGAGGTGTCAAAATGTAGAAAATAAGAAGTTTTTGAATCAGAAAGTACAGGGACAAATATGTAAATTAGTCCTCTTGGAACCTATATCTAATTTACAGGCCAGAATCTTTTTTACACTTTGACCATTCACAAGTTGAGTAGTTGTCATTTGCGGAGGTGATGACATTTTAGAGATATTGGAAGAAAATGGCTAAGAGATGAAATCAAATTATGAAAATGACTATTTCTATTAATTTTTCTTATATATATATACACACACACACATATACAGGCAAGTTCATAAGAGAAGGATGTCTATTTAGAAAAGAAAAAAAAAATAAGAAAATGATCAAAATACGTACAAAATCACATATGATTTTACATTAATGACCAACTAAATGTTATTTAAGACAACTCTATGGTCACATGCCAAGGTCGTGCGAATCACATATGATTTTGCATGTTATAATATTATAAAAATACATATACTTTGACTATTCTCTTATCTATGCTATATTATAAAGCATTTGATAAAAATTCTTAAAAATCATTTTTTATACGTAAAGTACTGTTTATTAATGCATATTACTTAAAACTCAAGATTGCATGTAGATTGTGCATAAATACAACTTATTAAAGCTCTATATCTGAATTCGTGTAACTAAATGCAGATAAATATAATCAAATACATAATAAATATCTCAAATTTAATATAAAAAATCTAATATATAATTAGGATAATCATTAAATTTAACAGAATACTTAATTATTATCTTTATAAAATTTATAATATTAACCAAAAATAAACTATTTCATTATTAAACTTGAATTAAATTATAATAAAAGAATAAATTAAAGAAATTACATAAAAATAAGACTTTTAAATAGTTGATTTAATACTAATTTCGCTTATTTTTAAAAAAAAATTATAATATTTCACTCAAAAATAAAAACATTTTATTTTTTCTCAAAACCATATAAAATCGCATTATAACATCAATAGAGCTAAAATATAAAACGAAACATTATAATTAAGATATATTTCACTACATTACACGAATACCATTCTAGTTTTCTTAAATACGTATCATTTGATTGAAAATATTATAATACTCTCATGGTTTTATTTATTTTATCTTTGAGAAAAGTTAAATGTCGAAGAAAAAAAAGGTTAATTTAGGGAAAAGTGGGTGGTCGCACACATGTCAGTTCATGATAGGCGACACCACATATCATGTGTGTTTACGTGTCCATAATGACAAAAAAACCAGACAACAATGCCCTGTATACACGGCACACCCTATTGCTCGTGCGACCCACAGGTAGGACCATTGATAATAAACTACGGTGCTACGTGGCAACCGATTACTGGTATCACTTTTAAAAACAGACCAGGTCCCACCAACGGTATTCTTTGACTATGTGTTCTAGTTAATTAATACCAAAATCATTTTAATAGTAATATCTTGACAAATTTAAACATTTTTTTTTTAATTTTGTTATATAATATCCAACATGAAAATTATTTTCTCTTTATTTTTTTTAAATTAAAGATTTTTTTAATTAAAAACATCTTCAAAAGCTATGTTAAAATAAAAAAATTTAAAAAATTAAGGATTTTTTGCTCCAAAAGCTATACTAAATGATACGTTAAAATATAGAGGGAAAAAAGAGAAGTAAAGTGAAATAAAACTTTAATTCTTTTCTACCAATAAGATGTATTGAAATTAAAATATATGAAAGATAATATTTTATTAAAAGTATTGATTTTTTTATTAATACATTAAATGTTATAATTGTTAAAATAAAGTAGTTGTTGAAGCTGAATATAATTTCTTATAGATAGTTTAATTTTTCATATCATATTACTAGAAAATTATAGCATAATTGTTGAAGATGTTTAAACTTTCCTTTTAATATAGCTGTTAAAACAAATTTTTTCTAAAATCTATAGGTTTTCACAAATCTCAAAATTCAAATAATTGCATATTTGCCACGTTAAAGATATTTTAATCATCTCATTTATTAAAATAATAGGTTAAAGTATTTAACTTTATTTTTACAAAATACTTGCAACTTTTTAACTTTAGAAAAAATAATTCATAATTATTTTATTTTATTGTTAAAGCAATTATCTTTGATTTTTTTTTTAGAAATGTGGTAATAATAACGGTATACTGAATTAAAGTGGTGTTTGGTTCAGTTAGAAAAATGAAAATGAGAATGAAAATAACAGGGTATGAAAATAAGTTTGAACTTCCATCCTCTCAATTTAATCTGGAATAAAAATTTGGGCTTTTGGAGGAATGAGTCTATTATATTATACAAAACTAAACAATTTCTTTTATTTTTATTTTATTGATTATTGTTTAATACATCTAACCAAACACCCCCTAAGTTTTCTCGATGTTTGATTTAGAGATTGAAAAGATAAATTCTTTTTCAAATGTTTTCGGCTTTCGGTTTTTCTGAAATCGGAGACGACGAGGAAGATAAGTCGGTGGTTATGTGGGTCAGGTTACAACAGGGTCCCTTTCTATTTTAGGTGCGTCTCATTCTTTTGATTCGACGACACGCATGGGTGCACGATGAGCTTGATTTTCAATATCTTATGTTACAATTAACCCCCATCTACATTAACCAATTTACATTTCCAGTCCTTATAATTTTAAACTATTTTCTTTTTTACGTCCATAATCATATAAACATCCGTGTTAAATTTTCTGCTTGCCTATTAGTCGCATGTCGTTTATCAAGGAGTTTTCTTTCGTATAATGTTAGATCTTCGATTGAGATGGAATTTAGTTGGCCCTTCATCTACAATATTAGAAAGGTATCTGTGTAATGCAGTACGCCAATTTCGATCTAAAGCTGAAAGCCTGAAAACTTGAACGCTCAATTTTGACTCATGTTTTGTTCTATTCTCCGTTTCTCTTCTTGTCATTTATATAACGTTGTGTGGTTTTGAAGAGCGAGAGAATTATCATTTTTATGGAAAACAACAGTGTATCAATATGACTGAATGTTTATCATGTATATGAAGGTGTTTATCGGCTGGTTTATCATGTTATGGTATTATATATATATATATATATATATATATATATCAAAATTCGGCTCCAGGACAAACTCCAAGCCCATAAAACATCCTAACGTCTCGTTCGACCGCAAAACTGTCAGAAAAAGAATCGACAAAAACTTAGGAGAAAGTGTTAGGGGTTGTTTTACTGTTTGGTTCATACAGAGGAATAGAAATGAGAATGAATTTTCATTATTTACAGTCCAACCTGGAATAAAAATTTGGGCTTGTAAGGAATGGACCCACTATATTATATAAAACCAAACAGATTCAGTTATATTCAATCTCATTAATAACTGCTTTTCCTACATTCAGGATGAACTAGACATCTCTGAAAGCTAGCATATCACCATTGTTATTATCACCTACAAAACAAGGATTTTCCTAGTTAACTCCATCCATCTTACTTGTTTTAACCATCTTCACCAAAAAAAATTCCTTTATATAACCCTATCTGTTAACACCACAATCTCTTCCTCTTCTTCCCGAAATTTCGGTTTTCGGGGTTTCAAGAATCGTGATGGGCAACGCCAAAAGCAAACTCAATCTAAAGGCTCATGTCAAACCATCATCGGGTTCGTATTTTTGACAAGATACCATGATTTGTACCAAGAAAATGAGGCATATGAATATGTTTTTTCATGCAGAAAACCCACTAGGAGAAGAAGATCTTTACGAAATCAACGTCTTTCATCCCCACAGAATCCACCGATTTTGCTACAAAGTTTTGAAAACGGCCACTGGAAAGTTCTGTAACGAGAATCTAGCAGGTCAAGGCGGCTGTGGCGATGTCTATAAAGGGTGGCTAGATTATCGAACCAACGAAGCTGTAAAACCAGGGCATGGATTTCCAGTTGGCGTCAAAAAGATCAAGAAAGAAGGAGCCCAAGGCTTAGAAGAATGGAGGGTCAGATTCTAAATTTCAGATTTCAATTTCAACCATAAATGCTGTTCTTTAGAATTTTTATTTTGCAGAATGAACTGAAGATTTTGAGTAGTTTTCATCATCCAAATGTGGTGAAGCTCTTGGGATACTGTGCTGATGGTCCACACAGGATGCTAGTTTTCGAGTTCATACCGATGGGAAGCTTAGAGGCGACTCTTTCAAGAGGTAAGCTTTGAAAACTCTAAAGAACGTTCTCTAAGTTATGGCGGATTTGAAGATTTGATCGTTTGGGATATAAGCAGAATGTAGCACAGAACTAAACTGGATAAAAAGAATCAAGATTGCTAAAGGGTTAGCAAGGGGTCTGGAGTACCTTCACACCATGGACAGACCCGTCATTCATCGTGACATTAAGTCCGCCAATATTCTGCTTGATGATGTCAGTTCTAATTTTCTTTAACACTGTGTTCTCGAAGCCTTCTTTTTTGAACGAGAAAGAAAGGAAAAGGAGGGGAAAACGAAAAAAGATCACGTGTTCTTTAAACTTTTTAGGAGGGAAAGAAAATTTGAAAGGAGTCCATGATCTTAATGACAAAAATACCCTCGTAAAGAGAAGTAAGGAAGACAAATATAAAGGGTATATTTGTAAAATTGACATATTTCCTTTTATTCCCTAAACTTCCTTTCAATTTCTTTTCTTCCCAAATTCAAGAACACAGTGTAAGAATATCCTCAATTTTGATCCTTCAGTTCCACTAGTTTCCGTTGTTTTACAGGACTTCAATCCGAAGATTGCAGACTTCGGAATCTCAAGATTCGGTCCGCAGGGTGACAAAACACATCTTTCCACCAGGGTTCTTGGCAGTAAAGGCTACTTTGCTCCAGAGTACATTGGAACAGGTATACTTGTCTGACATGACTAGTTTTAGCTTTTCTTCCTATCTGGTAGTTGTCAGCGCTGTACCGGCAGTTGTCAGTACAGCGCTCTGTGTTTTCCTTTTTATCTAACCTGCCTCCTATTGTCATCTAAAACAGGTCATTTGACACTGAAAACAGATGTATACAGCTTAGGAGTTGTGCTGTTAGAGATTCTAACCGGCTTACGAGCAGTAAAGAGGTATCCAAATGGAGTGCTAAGAGAACTTTCCCGTTGGGCTAGACCATATCTAAACGATAGAAAAGGCCTACATTGTGTAATCGACAAAAGGGTCGTAAAGAATTTGGACATAGAAGAAGCTTACGAGTTCGCTACCATCATTCTGCAATGCCTCACCGAAGATCCAAGAAAGCGCCCAACAATAACCCAAGTGTTGAATAGTCTAGAACAGTTGGAACAAAACATGAACAGATGGAATCACACTTTCCATAACAGAAATGCACTTCGAAAACCCTATCAGATCTTGTAATTGTAAACATTATGCTACCTATGAATCAAAGATAAATTTAACGGCTTTTCTTTAATCTATTATCAAGAATCAGAAGTGTAGCCTGATTTGGATCGAAAGAGAACTCTTATTCCTTGATTTTCTGTTTACAATAAAGATGGTTTTGTGTAGATGTACTGTACCACTAATTCTTCAATCGTACCCTCATATGCAAGATTTTGAATATAAAGAAAAGGGCAAACACATACATACATCCATACACACAACAGAGCTGAAGTGAAATCACATACGTTTTTATGCATCATTTGACTCGTGGACTCTGGCGATGATGTGGCAGCGGAGATGCTAAAGGTGACCGATTCATAGGAGAACGGCGTTGTTGTCTCATTGGTGATCTTCGGATCGGGCTAGACACGATATGATGATCTCTTGAAGCACTTTTTGGGGCTTGTAGCTCTTCTAGACTGATTAAAACTTCGGACATTCGAGGTCTGGCTTTAGGTTCTACGCTAAGGCACTGTGAAGCGAGTGTGGCAGCAGTGTAGGTACCCTTTTGAGGGTATTGTCCTTCCAATTTAGTGTCCATAATCCTAAACAACTTTCGTTTGTCTCCTAAATATGGTTTTGCCCATTCGACAAGATCCTGCTCGATACCAATCTTTTGCTTATCAAGAGCACGACGGCCTGATAATAGCTCTAGTAGAACAACCCCGAAGCTGTATACATCACTTTTTGCTGTTAATCGTCCTGTTTATATCAAAAAAAGGAAAAAAAAAGGTTACTATGATATCATAACCATGCCAAGAGCTTGATAGATTGTTACATACTACAACAAAATGAAAGTAATCGTGTTTTCCATGATTATCTTCTATATACATCAGCCGAATATATATACAACTGAGAGGCTACAAATTAGGAAATGATCTCCACTCATTTAGGGGTGATCAATGACAGAATAAACAACCTAAAATAGACGAGGCTAAACTCATAAATATATAGCTAATTTACAGCTAGCTAATTTACAGCTAATACACCCCCTCAGTCTGAGTAGTGTAGGGACGAATGCACAGAGTGGACCGAAAATGGTTGAATAGATGACGCGGAAGCCCTTTGGTGAAGATGTCGGCGTATTGAAAATCAGCTGGAACATGTAAAAATCGGACAACACCAATTCGGACCTTTTCTCTAACGAAGTGAATATCGAGTTCCACATGTTTTGTACGCTGATGTTGTACGGGATTGTCAGATAAGTAGACAGCCGAGATATTGTCACAATAAACAATCGTAGCCTTGCGAGCGGGAACATGAAGTTCAAGAAGTAAGTTGCGCAACCAGCTCGTTTCGGCAACTGCATTTGCAACTCCACGGTATTCGGCCTCGGCGCTGGATCGAGATATGGTCGGCTGACGTTTCGACGACAAGGAAACCAAATTATCTCCTACGAAGACACAGTATCCGGAAGTGGAGCGCCGAGAATCGGGGCACCCCCCCAATCGGCATCAGAATAGGCAATAAGATTCGTTGATTTGGAGGGTGAGATATGGAGACCATACGTAATTGTTCCTTTAAGGTAACAGAGTACTCGTTTGAGGAACTGGAAGTGTGGATCTCGTGGGGCATGCATGAATAAGCAGATTTGTTGTACTGCATAGATAAGGTCCGGACGCGTGATGGTAAGATACTGTAAAGCACCTGCCAGCTGGCGATAATGTGTCCATCGGGTAGAAGTTGACCACTTGTGGCACTCATTTTGGGGGAAGTGTCAACAGGAGTGGAACTAGGCTTGCAATCTGCCATATGAGCTCGAGATAGGATCTTAGCAGCATAATTTTCTTGAGAAAGAAATAAGCCRCCGTCTTTGCGAGTAACATTGATCCCAAGGAAATGATGAAGGGTACCTAAATCTGACATAGCAAACTCACGAGATAAAAGAGCAATTATATCAGTGAGAAGACGGTCATTAGAAGCCGTGAGAATGATATCGTCAACATACAGCAGCAAGTAGGCCATGTCACTTCCCTTTTTGTAGACAAATAGGGAAGTATCACTAACGGTACTCCGAAAACCACACTTAGTGATATAGGTGGCAAATCTGTCATACCACGCGCGAGGGGCCTGTTTGAGCCCATAAAGAGACTTGCGTAACCTGCATACATAATTAGGGTGAGTGGCATCGGTGAATCCCGGAGGTTGAAACATATATACCGTCTCATTTAAGTCCCYGTSGAGAAAARCATTTTTWWCGTCGAGTTGGTGAATGGACCAACCCCGGGAAATAGCGAGACTGAGCACCGTTCGAATTGTGGTCGGTTTGACTACGGGACTAAATGTTTCATCACAATCGATGCCGACCTGTTGACATTTCCCGTTAACGACCAATCGGGCCTTGTAGCGTTGTAAGGTGCCATTTGCGTTAAACTTGTGACGAAATAACCATATGCACCGGATAATGTTCGCATCAGGGGGCCGAGGTACCAAGTCCCACGTGTGATTGTCCATTAGAGCTCAGTATTCTTCATTCATGGCATCGCGCCAGTGTGGATCAGAAAGGGTTTTGATGTGGGAATTTGGTATGGGAGAAGGTGAAGTATGTGTATCTGTATGTAGGTTAAGAGAAGAGGCAGAAGTTGCTGCTCGGGAACGAGTGATCATGGGGTGGGTTGATACGGGTGGTGGAGGTGGTGAAGGGGGTGAAGGTGGTGGTGGTGCAGCGGTTGAAGAGGGTTGCGAGGAGGTTGTCGGGACATGTGTATTTCGACGGTGGTAGGTATGGATGATAGGAGGTTGTTGGAGAGTGGGAGATGGGGAAGTGGGTTGGGTAGGTGGTGGGGAAGTGGCTGCTGGGTCAAAGATGGTAGGAGATGGATCAGATTCGAGGAAGGAGTAGTCAGATGTAGTAGTGGGATGTTTATCAAAAAAGGGAAAAGAGATCTCGTCGAAAATGACGTGACGAGAGAGGAGGATCTTGCCAGAAGAGAGGTCAAAGCATCGATACCCACGAAAGTTGGCGGGGTATCCAAGGAAAACACAACGAGTGGAGCGATGTTCCAACTTGTGTTTCCGAGTCGCAGTCGTGTTAGGATAACAGGCACACCCGAAAACCCGAAGGTGATCATAGGTAGGGTGTCGATGATAGAGGGCAGTCAAAGGGGTGGTGAATTTTAAGAGTTTGGTGGGGAGAATGTTGTGGAGATAGCACGCGATATGTAAGGCTTCAACCCAGAAATGGGGTRGGAGAGATGCGTGTGTGAGAAGGGTGAGCATGATCTCGTTAAGTCTACGAATCATACGTTCAGATTTCCCATTCTGTTGGGAAGTGTGAGGGCAAGAGAAACGGAAATGAAGACCGTTTGTTTCAGCAAAAGATTTGAAATTTTGGTTATTGAATTCACCTCCTAAGTCACATTGGAAAGCTTTAATTTTGAGATTGAATTGGGTTTTGATGTATTTATGAAACTGAGAAAATTTGGAAAAAGTTTCAGACTTGAATTTGAGCGGAAAAACCCAAGTATATTGCGTGAAATCGTCAATTAAAACCATGTAGTATTTATAACCAACTTTGATGGGGATAGGAGATGTTCATAAGTCACAATGCACAATATCAAAGGGTAAAATAGTAATAGACGTAGAATCAGAAAACAGTAATCGTTTGTGCTTTGAAAGTTGACAAGAATTGTAAACAAAAGATTTTCTACGTTTAAAACATGGAATAATGTTATTCGAACTAAGAACATCTAAGACAGAAGCACCGGGATGTCCCAAGCGATCATGCCAAAAATCTCGAGCACTGGAGGTGAAAAAGGTGGCGTTGATGACCGGATACAAGAGAGGATAAAGACGACTGGAGCTATTGTGGCAGGACAGCATCTGACCACTCTGGTAATCCTTCACAGAAAACCCATTAGGATCAAATTCAATGGACACATTATTATCAACTATAAAATTTACGAACGGAAATGAGGTTCTTAATGATGTTGGGAGTGTAAAGAATGTTGTTTAGGTGAAGGTTACGTGTGGGAGTGGGAATGATAGAGGAACCCGATCCACGAACCAGCACACAAGCACCATTACCAACAAATATCGAGCCAATGGGACAATTTAACGAGGGTGTAGAAATCTTACCTTGGTCACCCGTGAGATGGTCAGTTGCACCTGAGTCCATGTACCATTGATCATCAACCGGGTCCATGGTCATCGTTTGAAGTGCTTCACCAAGCTGAGTTGGCTCGAGAGGATCAAAGGTAGATAGATTGGCTTGGTTCGCTGTTGGGCCAGAAGGTCTTGGGCCGGACTTGTGATGTGCAGGTGGGTCGGGAGGCGCGGGCCAGACTGGCATAGGAGATCTACCCCATGAGGAGGCCCATCCCGGGTTGGTGGGATACGGACATGGCGGAGGGCTCCAATAGGCCCAATTGGGCAGCCGAGTGGGCTGAGTGTTCCACGGTGCATGGGCTGATTGAGGCTGGCCGGAACCACGCCTAGTGGCTGTTGAGGAAGATCCGCTGGAGGAGTTATTGGGCCGCCTATGTCCGGGCCTGTTGTTGGGGCTTCTTCTATTGACAGGATTGGAAGGATCGGGCTGAGGTTCTGAGGACACGACAACCATGGCAGTTGGTGTAGTCATGGTTTCCCGGGCAATCTGTCGATGATGCTCCAATTCGAGCATACTATATGCAGTCTCCCACGTGGGAAGACTTTGATTGATATACGAGGCCACGGTATCGTATTCCGCCGGCAGTCCTCTAACAAGCTGAAGAACAAGTCTTCGATCATTAACCGGACAATCCACGTCGTTGAGTTGGCTGCCCAATTCTTTGAGTTTTTGGCAATAGGCTTCAAGCGACGGCATGGATTTTAAAGTCAGGTTATTGAATTCATGCTCAAGGGTTGCTGCCCTAGAGCCCTTGTTATTGAGGAAGATGGCTTTGATTCGACACCAAGCCTCGTGAGCGGTCGACTCAGTTACCAAAACACGAACCAGCAAATCATCGGATAATGTCTCGTAAATCCATTGCAATACAATTGCATCAATTTCAGTCCATGCTTCGTATTCTGCATCAGCCTTGGCCGGAGGCRGTGTCCCGTCAATGTGTGACATGACTTTGTATCCCTTGGCATGAAGTTGAAACAGCTTGACCCACGAGGAGTAAGAGACCTTCGTGCCGTCAAGCACCCGGACCTTGTGTTGGATATTGGTCACGGTGTAGACAGGGTGAAGGGCCTTAGGAACGTTTTCAGGCTTAGTATTCATGGGTGAAAGGAAGATGGTAGCAGGAAGAGGACAACAGGGATGAAATCAAACCGTGGTTTGATCTCTGATGATAAGAGAGCAAGAGCTAGGGTATCGAGTCTAGCTCTGATACCATGAAAGTAATTGTGTTTTCCTTGATTATCTTCTATATACATCAGCCGAATATATATACAACTGAGAGGCTACAAATTAGGAAATGATCTCCACTCATTTAGGGGTGATCAATGACANTCTATATACATCAGCCGAATATATATACAACTGAGAGGCTACAAATTAGGAAATGATCTCCACTCATTTAGGGGTGATCAATGACAGAATAAACAGCCTAAAATAGATGAAGCTAAACTCAGAAATATATAGCTAATTTACAGCTAGCTAATTTACAGCTAATACAAAATCGGCTTTATGGGACGCCAAATATGTGTAAGGGCCTGCTTGTTAGCAGCTTATTCGGCCAGCTATATATGACTATTTGGTACTGACTTGATATAGAAAGTGGTTTATCCAGTAACCTTCTAAGGACAAAGCCAAGTTTTTTCCAAACCTGCCCCTCGTAATTAAAAAAACAAGCTCCTTCTATTTATGAAAAAACCTTCCCAATCTATACAGACATATTAATCCACACAGACAACTTCATCCATACATGACTTACCAAACAGCCTCTAAATGTCCTAATAGACTACTTTAGATGACTTGCATTTAATAAGTTAATGTTTCTAACTGCCGACTTCCAGATACTAATAAGTAATTGAAAATGCAGACCTGTAGCAATATATTCTGGTGCTGCATACCCTTGAGTACCCATTACTTGAGTTGATACATGTGTTTTATCACCAGTTGGACCTGCCTTGGCTAAACCAAAATCGGATAGCTTTGCATTGAATTCCTACAGCATCATAGCAAGATGAGTGTCGTGTCCGGAACATGTTACAAACTTAAAAATTGTTTTAAAGAGAATATACGCAATTGAAAGTTATTTGTACCGCATCAAGTAGGATATTAGAAGCCTTGAAATCTCGATATATAACTTGTTCTTTAGCATCATGAAGGAAAGCGAGGCCTCTTGCAGCACCTATTGCCACTTTGAGCCTTGTTGCCCATGGAAGTGGTTGAGGCCCTCCTGTAAATTTGACAAAGATTCAGTAATGGTTGAACTAAATTGCACCCCACAAAATAATGGTTATTTTTTATCCTTTTCTGTCTGAATTTCTACAATATAAGGAGCCAGACTTTTTTGTGTTTTGATGCACTACTGAAATCTACGAGATATTATAACAATAACCGTGGATATAGGCAAATTGTTGTAAATATCGCAGTTGATTTCTCATTTCTTGCAGATATTAGGGGCTGTTTGGTTGGTTTTTCATTAAGTTCTATATGAATAAAGTTGTCTGTGTGGATTAATCTGTCTCTATAGATTGAGAAGGTTTTGTTTAGGAGGGTTTTTCATTAATAGAATGAGTATATCTTTTTAATTCAGAAAGAAATGTTTGGAAAAAACTTGGCTTTCTGCATAAAGCTCCTACCTAGAAGCTTACTGAATAAGCCACTTCCTATATTATTAAGCCACTATCAAACAATCATGTATGGCTGACTGAATAAGCTGTAAGTCCCATTAAGCTCATTAAGCTGATAACTAACAGGCCCTTGGTGTGTGTGATTACTGATCCTGCCACCAATTACAAGTAGAAATGCAAAACTTGATCAAAATGGTGAAGCATACGTCTAAAAAGATGATTCTCCAAGCTTCCTTTAGGCATGAACTCGTAAACCAAGAGCCTACTATCACCCTCCGAGCAGTAGCCAATGAGTTTGACCAAATTAGGATGGCGTAGCTGCCCAAGATACTTGACTTCTGTCTGCAGAAGTCAAAACATAAAGTTCAAAAATTGGGGAAGGGAGAAAAAACCCATAAAACATGGAGGAAAATCAAACATACCAACCACTCCTTGTGTCCTTGAAAACCCTCGGGTTTAAGCTTTTTGACAGCAATGACCATTCCGGATCCGGGTTTTGAAGCAGTAAGCGTGAATTCGTCAATCCAACCTTTGAAAACACAACCAAATCCTCCTTCACCAAGAAGACTGTCGGGCCGGAAGTTCCTAGTGGCATTCTTTAACTCCATGAATGAGAAGGGTTTCACACTCGGAGATAATAATATTTCCCCTTCGGATCTCGGAGTTTGAAGACTTTCAGCACTGCTCATCCCACTGTGAGATGAAATGGTCAGGCTGGAAGGACCAGAAAAGGAACTTTTACTGCCATTTTTCGAGGTTCCTGAGGAAACATAAATAAGTCATTGAAAAACCCTTCTTGACCTAAATGGTGCATTTTTATGCCCAACAATATACAAATCGCATACCAAATAACTAAAAATATATCAAATTATTTGCACTTTAAAGGGGGTATAATATTTTGATTGGAGTTCAAAATCAAAGTACCCAAAAGGATATGGAAACTCCACATATGTTCTTCAAAGGGAAAAGAAAAGGAAAACCCTTCTTGACCCAACTGGAAACACTTATAAATTAGGCAATTGGAGCTGAAAAGAACTCTACTATACCACCCAACAGAAATCTTAAATTCACAAAGAAAACCATAGCATCAAGAAGATATCTATATATACATATAGATACAGGGGAAAACCCAAAAAAAAATGAAAAACTAAGGAACACTGACGGTATGCAAATACAAGTAATTGAAGTTGTGTGCATACCGGATAAATTGCTTATAAATTACTTGTATGCAAATATGCATATAATCCAAATGAATGGTTACCTGGGCGTTCCTAGTTTTTAATTTTTTTGCCATTTTCCCAGTAACCTGGCCGTATATATGTATATGAATGATTTTACTTTAAGGGTGCTTTGAGAACTCAAATTCCAGGAGGAATATATGTTCATGTTTTCAACTAATCCGATTCTGATTCCAATTCAAAATCTGGAGCTACATGCTCCCGATCATGCCTATTCTTTGTTATGGAGTAGCAATTATACAAATCAAGAATTCATTAAAACTTATCAAATAGCCTCAATTGGGTGTAGAAATATCACAAAGACAACAAGCTTATGACTCTTGAACTCCAAATAAATCAAAGGAGAGTTCTCTTACCAGAAGCACGGGAGCTGAGAGTAGTATCGACTTGAGCTGAAGAAGAATCCAAGCAGTTACCCATCTTGATTGGGAATTAAGCCAATTAATCAATTCCCCGATTAGGGTTATTCGGAGGTGGTGAAATGAAGTCTTTCTACGGTTCCAAATTGGGGGAAATTGCAAGTGAGAGAGAGAATTTGTTTCACGTTTGCTGAGATGGCGGCAGGTAGGAAAGATACCTCTGGAAAAGAGGGCGAAACAGATTGATGATAACTTTAAAGCAGATCCACCCCTGTTGACTTGACTTCCATCCCCCCACGTCCCATTCACAACTCTTGGACGCATTGCTGTATATGAATTGAATTGAATTGAATTGAAGTGAAGTGAATGGTGTGGCCTCCATCTTTCATACTTGGCCTTCCACGCAAATATTTTTTTAGAAACAGGACAAATGTGAAATATAGAAAATGTTCCACTTAACCTCCCCCAATTTTTGTATAATTCCCAATTTAACCCTCTGTTTACTTGGATTATGACTATTTCACCCAAATCTCCACGTCATTTGTTCATTTTTATCATACCTTAGAAAATAAAAATTACTAAACAAAAGAGTAAATTAAGTTTTTTGTCCTTGTGATTTGTTAAAAATTGCAGAGTATGTGATATTGTTGTGGTTTTTGTTAATATGATTTGCAATCAAAGTTTTAAATAGTGTGAGACGTGGTATGACAGCAAGGTCAAGTTTTAAACTTTAGGAGCCACGGCGAACTATGACGTTTTTCAAGACGTGACTTATGACGACAAATCTCTATATTATATATAATATTATATGTATATATACGCGCACATACACACACACACACACACACATATATATATATATATATATATATATATAAACATATGTTTTTTACTACTACATATGAGTCAATGATAATAAACAATTTAAATTAGGTTATATATTAAAAAAAAACCAAACAAATAAAAGAGTAAAAAGGTAATAAAAACCAAATATCGTGTTAAAAAATTGCATCAGGCCACGGCGTGTTACATGCTTAACGTGACATGAGATACAAGTCTTGAGTCATGACACGCCATGACGGTTGTTGATGCCAGTCTTTTAGAACAATGTTTGCAGTTCATAACTATATTCTTATCTGAGGCTACCTCTTACTTTTAAGAGGAAAAAATAATGAATTGTAAATCATACGAATGAAATAACAATAAGTTGTATATTATAAGGACGACAACAACAATGAATTGTAAATCATAGGGACAAAAATTATTTTTCAAAACTATATGGACAAAAATAATAATTTTTAACAAATTATACAGACAGAAAAAACACAATTTACGCTAATAAAAATAAATACAAATTTCACAGCTGCTTGTTGAGATCATGATGATGTTAAAAGTAAATGGATAAAAATAAAGTCATAGAGTCAAAAACTATGTTTGGAAATGCATATTGGAGAATGCATATTTCCTACTAGGGGTGTTTAAAAACCTGATCAACTCAACCCAACACGAAATAATTCAATTCGAAGCAACCTGATGTCTAATCGAGTTGTAAAATTTTCAAACCGTAAGTATTTAGTTGATATTGGGTTACTAGTATTTGAACTCAACCCAACCCGATGAACCCGATATCATTTTATTTTTTGGATTTAATATGATTGTTGAATTTCTATAATATATATTAGACAATCACACTATCACGTACGCTCTTCATATACATATGTTTTCAATCTATTCACATCTCTATATAACTCATTCGTATATATGTTCCGTAACTGTGAACATATATATGTAAATTGAGAAAATTAACTTAATGTGATATACGTAAGAAGTATGGATAAGTTGTATCAAATGATTGATAATGAAAAATAAATTATGAGTAGAGAAATAACATATTCAAGGTTAGAAAAATATTTTAATGTACCAAAATATCAACCCGACCAACCTGTACTGTTTGGGTTGGGTTAAGATTTTTCAAACCACAAGCATTAAGTTGGTTTGTTTAAATGTCTTCAAACCGATCAACCCAATCCATGAGCACCCCTATTTCCTATTGATAAATTTATGTGTAATCCCACAAACTTTGCATGGTATAAAATAGGGGTGAACATGATATGGTGTCATATTCTTTTTTATTTACTATTTACTAACTAATTATAATTGGAACGTAGAATTTTGTATTGTGTACTAACCAACTATACTTTGTACCAATTCTTTTCAACTGGTACATGCTGGTATGATATTGTACCAACATCATAAAAATTGAAGTTATAAATTTATTTAAACTGACATATTTACCAACTAAATCTAGATGCATTAAAACTTTCGAACATTCACATAACATGTTGACATGTGTTATATCATTTATCCTTATTCATACAACCATTCAAATAATCTTCCTATAATATAAGTATTCACTAGTAATCTGCTACAAGCGGCAATTGAGGAGCATCGATGGACCTTGGAGGTGTGAACGAGTTACTAAAGTTGTTAGGATTAGGCGAATTTCAACTGAGTTGTTTGTGGTAACTGTGAGAACCAATCTCAACCAATCATTTTAATATATTAATTATACAATTAAAATCAAATTAAAAGGGTATGTTAGTCAATATGTAAATTAAGATTAAATTTATATTTTTAAAATAGAACCGTTTCAAAAAAATAATTAATATTGATTTACATTCCTAAATTAAAGATTATTATGATTCGCTTAAATAAATTCAAACAATAAACCAGAAAAATAGTTAGTACTCTAATTATGTATTATAGTTGTGGTATCATGTGGTACAAACAATAAACCAGAAAAACAGTTAGTATCCTAGTTACGTATTACAGTTGTGGTATCATGTGGTACCAATAAATGTTCTTGTTTTTGATGTAATACATTTGTGGTTTCATGTACTACAAAACAGTTGGTACCTAAAAAATTCATTAGGCTGTGTATGATGTGGTGCTATAACTTTTTCTGTATCATATATACATTCTCATATCATTTCCAGGGTATCACAATGTAGCACACCAATTCTCATGTATTACAAACAGTTAGTACCCTAGTTATGTAATACAGTTGTGGTATCATGTGGTATCATCTGTTGCAAAACCAGATCATCAGCAGAGTAGTAATCTGCAATGAGGCGATACATGTATGAAGGATTATGTCCTGGAGCTAGACTTRAAAACTGAACAATTATAATGAATTACTTAAGCCTATGTCACAACTAGCAATGCCCTAAATTTGGAAGGGAAAGAAAAAGATAAACAAAAACCTAATATATCACAAAGACAATCTTGCCCTTATTCATATAATGTCATTAAATGACACTAATTTATTTTTAGAATTACATTAATTAAGATTCCTTTTAATCTTACCCATTGATTATTATAATATGTGGTTGAGATTGGTTCTCACAGTTATCACAAACAATTAAGTTCTCATTTGATTAAGCCCCTATATATATATATATATATATATATATATATATATATATTCATCAGTATTATACTTTAGCAATATTTAAAACAAGATAAGTAAATTTTAATATTTTAAATCAAAATATGTTGTATTACTAACTCAACTTTAATTGATAAATAAATAAGTCGGTACAATACGGTATTACCGTGACACATAACTTCTAAACTACATACCAACCAAGTTTAGATAGTTGATATAGTATTACCAATCAATTATATAGAGGTGATTATTTGCGGGTCTGAGCTGGGCCTAACTTGTTATTTTGTCCAACGGACCTAATATTGTAAACCCAAATTTTTTTTTCGGGCTTGACAACTTGACATTACCTGCCCTATAAACAGGTCAGGCTTACCCATGAGCTTAAAAAGTGTAACTCTTACAAATCTATAAATTTGCTCACTAGCAATTAATTATCTAATGTAAAACCAAAAAGTAAAGAAAAAAGACCGTTGCAATTAAAATTTTAAGCAACTAAGGTGATACATGGATCTTAACAAGTGGAGAAAGAAATGAAAAACAAAATTCAGACTTTCATAATATCAATAATGCATTCCGATTTTTTATGTATAACATTAATATTCACATTAAGAGGTAAACAAACAACCTCTTAACCTTTTAGGTTCTCAAAAATAACCGAAGAGTTCATCCTATAACTTAAATAATTTAATTTTAAAATATACTAGTATAATTTTTATTAATGATAAAAAAATATTAATTATAAAATATAAACATGCTGGATGGGCCTGTCCATAACATTGTCCATGTCCGTCCGTCGTTTTTAACGAACAAACCCGAGCCCATCTATTTTCTCGATAATGGTTGTCTAAGTCCGTATTTCTAGTGAGCCGGATGAATCGGGTCCCACTCACGAATAACTCTACCAATTAAGTTGATATAATTAATAGATGAATTGATTGGTTTGTCTTATACAAAATTTAGACCCCTTAAGTTTAAACAATAATTACATCCAAAGAATCTTGCAAATCTTTGGTGTGGATAGGAAGGGGCTAGTAATGTAAACATTGAAACTCGATGGATTAAATTCATCAATTTATTAAACCACAAGGGGCGAACTTGAAAATTGTTTGAATAGTTGTACCTGTCCTACGGTTCTCTTCAGCCAATAGCATGAGAGCACCACGTCAACAATCCAATCAAAAGCGTCCACGGAGGAAAACCAACGTGGCTTCGAGAAGTTTATATTACTCTTTGAAGACTCTGGATTATAATACCGTATCGTAAGTGTTCCTTTGTTTGTCCGATCTTAGGCAGCGAGAGAATCGACGGTTCACGCCGGATATCAAGATCCCGGCGATGATGGAGTCACACGGCGTCGGTCTCCGCCGTGTTTTGGAGCTGACATTTTGCGTCGCCGGTATTTGGACGGCTTATATATATCAAGGCGTTCTTCAAGAGACTGTGTAAGGCTTTGTTACTCACTTATGCTGTTCCATTTTATACTACTTTTATCAGTTTAAATTGTGCTTTCTTATATGATTATTTGAGTATTTCATATATTCATCCGATGAAGTTTCGAATTTTGGATTTGTAGCAAAAAATTGTGTGAAGGTTGATGTTAACTTCCCATTAGTGATTGAGGATTTTGAAAATAATGCATCTACTGGAAGTTATTAGCTCGTTCGTTGGAAAGGAAAGTGATTACTTATATTAATGCTGATGATGTGTTTTCAAGTTACGGCAGTGACTTGTGATCCCTTGTAAGCACCTGATAGTGGCTACCAATAACTTCATAGTTCACACTCTGGTTCCATTTGATGTTGTTATAGGGGTCAGCTTACTGCCACAGGCTTGGGCGTTACTGTTTAGCTTGGTAAAATTGAAGTTTAGGCTTATGAATTTAAAGTTAGCGTAAATAATGGTATCCTTGAATATCTGCTTGAAGTTTTTATAAAATTGATTATCGGCTTAAACTTTTTACGAATGTTACTACCATAGCTGGTGGAGGTCAATAGGGAATTCGGTACTGCTAATTGATTAGTTTGTAATGGATAATATGTGGAAAAGAGAACTGTTAGTCATGGCGATATGAGCACAAAGTTTTCATTTTTGGTTACTTATGTCTTATGAAGTTGAAATTGTTTTTGGATAGAAGGAGCGTAGAACTTGCACTATTTGCCGATTTACAAAGTAAAATTTGTTTTAGAGCACTGTGAAGCTTGATAAAGATTATTACGATACTTTACTTTGTAATATGGGTCTTTGTTATTGATTTTCAGGTCTACTAAGCGATTTGGCCCAGAGAAGGAGAGGTTCGAACATCTGGCATTCTTAAATTTGGCGCAAAGTGCTGTTTGTTTGATATGGTCATTCATGAGTAAGTATATAACCTCTTATTGCATTTATCTTTTGTCATTTAGAGTATAGATGATGAATAGTGATTGACATTGTGTTGTCACTGATTAGTGATAAAGCTGTGGCCCAGTGGTAGTACTGGTCATGCTCCATGGTGGAGTTATTGGAGTGCTGGCATTACAAATACGATTGGGCCAGCTATGGGGATTGAAGCTCTGAAATACATCAGTTATCCTGCTCAGGTACTTTGGAGCGTTATCCATCTGTGAGACCTTTTTTCTGTTTCTGTCAGTATTCCTTAACTTTTTCTTGACAGTGGCATTAAGATTTCTTAATGAACATCTTCTGTAGAAAGTTCATTTATCGTTTCTGTTTAGAGTAACTAGTACTAGATCTAAATGCACTGACGTTACCTATTCAGATTCTGCTTTGAGCTGATAACCTAGCATGATTCTCAGATTTATTGTTGCTTAGTGGGTAAAATGAATAAATTTGTTTTTAGTAGTATATGCTTGAATTCTTAAAAGAGGAACCCGTGTTAAGCGTGACATGTTTTACCGATAGTGTCTTTCTTGCCCATTAAATGACTGTTAAAGGCCAACAATGCACATTGTAAGAAACTTACTGTTTATCTCATGATGTTGGTGGGTGTACAAAGTTCAACTTCAAGAGCTACACACCTTGTTTAGGCTAATGCCAGAAGCAACTCATTTGATAACATCCAATGCAAGATTCTTTGTTTTATGCTGAACGACCAGGCTTTGTTGAGTAACCAAGAGCAAATCTAGAACAAGTTCAATGCTTTGATGATAGTTGGTTTGTCACATTCCATGATGCCATATCAGTACAAGTGAATTGAAAGATACAGACCATTTTACAGAGATGGACACGCTTCATTGTACTGTTTAGAATTGGTTTATCACTATATTTTTCTTGTTTTGACATAAACTACCACATTCCCCCCCCCCCACATGTTCAGTGAGAATTGCTAATAATTTCCTTAAATTGATGTGTGATGTTTGATTGTAGGTCCTGGCAAAATCCTCAAAAATGATTCCAGGTGAGTACTGACTTGATTTAGAATGAATTGCTGAATGTCAATTGAAATTGCTTAGCAACAGCCTTTCACTGTTGGTTTTTGTTTTTACTGGGTACTTTGACTCAGATTTTCTTTCTTTCTTCATTGAATACGTTGTCTTTATGCAGTGATGCTGATGGGGACTCTCGTATATGGTATTAGATACAGTTTCCCAGAGTATCTTTGTACTATCCTTGTTGCTGGTGGCGTGTCTGCCTTTGCGCTGGCAAAGGTGAATATACCACTTACCTCTAGAGAACTATATTGTTCAAGGTCAAAATTGAATATGTTGATAATCAAACTGCTCAAAAGTTTTGGGCTGCACATATGAGGATTACATGTAATACAAAATGAATGGCACAACATGATCAAAGGATGACTATACTTGGTCATGAATCAAGACTAAACTAAATTTAATGATAAAAAAATGATAACAATAGAGCCAAAAGATATACCAACTGGCGCTTCTTCATGAAGCTACCTAAATAAATGATCCATATTCAATCTTTCCTTGAATTTTAGCCATAGTGCTACACTAAGGGGCTGTTTGTTAGGCTTAATGGGACTCACAGCTTATTCAGTCAGCTATACATGATTGTTTGGAAGTAGCTTAATGATATAGAAAGTAACTTGTTCAGTAAATTTCTAGGGATTCTAGGGGGAGTTTTATGCAGAAAGCAAGTTTTTTCCAAACATGTCTCTCCCAATTAACAAAATGCTCCTTCCATCTATGAAAAACCATCTGAACCTTCTCAATCCATACATACAGATTAATACACAGACAACCTTATCAATATAGGACTTAATGGAAAACCAACCAAACAGCCCCTAAACTTTTATAACTATAGTGCTGAGCCGCATCATCCTTCCTTGCCTTATGATGAGAGCATCTCGATCGTCCAATATACTTAGCCGCTCAGGTGAGAGTATCAGGATCTCCTTGCTTTTTAAGATCCACTTCCACCTTCACTAATTGTTTCTTGATTTTATCCAGACTAGCTCAAAGACAATAAGCAAGCTGGCTCATCCTAATGCCCCACTTGGATACGGACTGTGTTTTCTAAATTTGGCATTTGATGGTTTCACGAATGCCACACAAGATTCAATCTCAGCAAGGTTAGTCGTGTTTTATTGTAAATTGCATATACTAATCTGCATATTTCTGAAAACTAATTCTTTGTGATTCAGGTACCCGAAGACAAGCGCATGGGATATAATGCTAGGAATGAACTTATGGGGTACCATCTACAATTTGGTATTCATGTTTGGTTGGCCACAAGCAAGCGGATATCAAGCAATTCAATTCTGCAAACTTCACCCTGAAGCAGCTTATGATATCTTATACTACTGTTTGTGTGGTGCAGTCGGCCAAAACTTCATATTTTTTACCATTAGCAGGTTCGGTTCTTTAACCAACACCACCATCACCACGACTCGCAAGTTTGTGAGCATCGTGGTGTCATCACTTCTTAGTGGTAATCCGCTATCTAGAAAGCAATGGGGGAGTGTGTTCATGGTGTTCAGTGGGTTGTCATACCAAATCTACCTCAAATGGAAGAAACTGCAAAAAATGCAGAAGAAGAGGAAAACCACCTAATCCGTTTTCGTTAACCTCATAATCATGCTCTATAATGTAGCATTTATTCAAACCCCAAGTTTTCGGGGGGTTGCCTATTTGTAAATGTAGCCGAGTGTAACTGATTAGATCTTATATAGTCGGTGGAGCGGCCAATTTGTTACTAGTTATACTGAACAACAGGTTTCTTTCCTTGCTTATGCTACATGAGATGATACGGAATGTAGATTTTGATCCAAAGGAAATTTGTAGGGATTAACAGCATTTTCAATAGATAATTTATAATTTCTCTATTTGAAGTCGAACAGACAGGAAGGATTTAAACATTTTGCTAGAAGGCAAGAAGTTTCAATATCATATATGATTACTTCTTTAGGTGTGTTTAATCATATATGGTTAAGTATCTATGTGTTGTCAATGCAATATGTGTTCAATCATATATGATTAAGCTTGTGTATCATGTTTGTGATCATATATGATATCGAAATTTATCACATTCTTGCAAAATGTTTAGCTTCTATTGATTTAGGATTTGAAGTATAGGGTTTGCTTTTGCTTCTGTTTGTGTTGTTTAATGATAAATGGTGAAGTTGTGTTTTGATTTGAGTTGGATAAATGGGTTGATGTGCATCTTATAATGATATTATGTTGTTGAATGTTGATGTTTTTAGTTATTGATGGTTGAATGTAGGGGTGCTTAAAAACCCTATCAACCCAATATAACACGAAATAATTTAATCCGAAGCAATCCGATGTCTAATCGAGTTGTAAAATTGTTAAATCGTAGGTATTGAGTTACTATTATTTGAACCCAACATAACCTGATGAACCAGATATCCTTTTATTTTTTGGATTTAATATGATTGTTGAATTTTTATTAATATATACATTAGACAATTACATTATCATGTATGCTATTCATATACACATATTTTCAATATATTTACATCTTTATATAACTCATTCGTATATATGTTCAATAATTGTGAACATATATATGTAATTGTGAAAATTAACTGAATGTGATATACTTAAGAAATATGGATAAGTTGTATCAAATGATTGATGATGAAAAAGAAAGTATGAGTAGATAAATAACATATTCTAGGTTAGAAGAATATTTTAATGAACCAAAGTATCAATCCGACCAACCTGTACGGGTTGGGTTGAGTTGCACTTTGGTTCGGGTTAGGTTGGGTTAAGATTTTTCAAACCGCAAACATTAGATTGAGTTGTTCAAATGTCTTCAACCTGATCAACCCAACCCATGAACATTCCTAATTGAATGTATACAAGTTTTAAACAACAAAACTATGTCTTCATGTGTTTGAAAAACTTTACCATCAATTTAACGACCATCAACCATATACAACAAATCTAAATCGAAATGCAAGTTATATAGTATCCAAAATCAAAGTTTATTAAAAAAAAACATACCAAACACAATGCCATGTCATTAAGTATGACATGTCTTGTTTGTATGTATTATAATACAGATAAATGATTATTAAGGTATTTTTAGTTTTTATTTTTTGATAAAATATAATGTATTTTATTGATTGATTTTGATATTTAAAACTTTTAGAAAAGTTACAATTTACAATGATTTAACACTCTCGTAAAAGGTGCAAATAGCAATGGAGACTTTCAAAGTTATTTCCATAGAAGAGGAATAAGCCTAAAGTTTGTTATATTCTAGTTATATAATTATATATATTTAATAAACTAAAATCATATGAATGTTTTGATCTTAAATTTAGGAAATTGATCAAAAGACAAATTACCCCTAACACTTGAGTTTACTATTTACCCGATAAATGCATATTGGGTTACTTAACTTACCGGATGAATATGAAAAGAATTGAGAATCTTATTCGGTAAGAGCGATAACAAGTAGGTTGTAAACAAGCCAAGTTGAGTCTCGTAGTATGTTAATCGAATCGGGATCAAAAAATTAATACTAGGTTTAAGCTCGAATCGAGCTCGATTAACTTTTTCAATGTAAAGTTCGAGCTCAAATATTTTTTGAGTTATCGAGCTCGATGCTCGTTTATGCCTTCGAACTCGCGATCGATTAACTCGTTTATTGGCTTGAGCTCGGTAATTTTCATATTTTTATTGTATGATTAATAAATATATGAGCATGTTTGACTAAAAAAATGTATTCTCGAATGGCTCCGCTCGGCTCAACTCGAAAAACTGAATCAAGTTTTCGAACGAGCCGAGTCGAACATTAGTGTTATAAAGCTCAGCTCGTTAAGTTAAAAAGAGTTCTATTTTGTGTTCGAGATCGACTCCAGCTCGAGAACTATTAAGCTCGAGCTTGATATAAATGATCTCGAGCTCGAGTAACTTGTTAAAAGCTCGAATCGTTTACACCCCTAATGACAAAGATCGAGAGTCTTACTCGGTAATTAAGTATGACAACTCCTTGCCCGATTAATACTTAAAGTAAATTGCTGCATATAATGTCATTTTGATGGACTAAAATATTACCTGATAAGTTAAATGAGAATACTAGACTCGTACCAGTAAACGATTACTGAGTAAGTATTCAGATAAACATCCCCTTTTAAAGGGTATTTCACTGGTTGAAAAATTAGTAATAATATATGGTTTAATAAGTAATAGGGGTATTTAATACTCTAGGGTTGATGATTATAATAAATAAAAGAAAGAAAGTGGAAATCCAGTGAAATAACATACTTTTAAAAATTTGTGCAGGGTTCCCTCCATATTACTTTTGCTTTCTTGGACATCATTTTTTTTGTCTTCCACCATCCTCATCATCATCCAGCTGACCAACTTAAATACTCCAACAGGATCCCTCACTCCCCACCTTCTTCCCCACACAAACACACACACACACAAACACACACAGTAATGGTGAGAAGATTCCCATGGACAAAAAGCATGAATCTTTCATCTTCTGCAAGTAAGACTTTCCCATCCCAGTCTTTACATTCATCATTTTCTGTAAATTTTCTACTGTTTATGTATATATAACAATTGGAGTCTGCAGAATCTTGAATCTTGTGAGTTGGATCAGTAAATAACTAAGAAGATAAAGAGCGAGTCTGCACACAAGAACCATATATAGATCACATTCTCTAAAAACCAATCATTATAAGTTATACATACCAATAGAATTTAAAGATTAAAAAAAACAAAAAAACTTATGCCATACCCTTCTCTTTCTTTCTACACACCCTACAAGAAACAAAGAACAGGAGTCCAATTTGGCTGGTTGATCCTCCTTCACTCTCTTTTTATACTTCTACTACCTTTCCCCCCTCTTTCAATCATCTGTATAAATGTGGGGGGGCTATAATGTAAATATTGGCGAGATGCCGATGTGTAATTACACTCTGCAAGATTAGGTAAAAATTATGTTATGTACAAGATTTGGCAAATTTTGAGGCCAAATGGTTATGAGATGGATATGGAATATGCCTAAAATTCCATATCCTCTGGAAAAAACACACAAAAATGAGACATGCCCAATAGAGCACATTGGAAATCAATGCGAGTATTGGGACTGGTAAACTCATTTTGCAACCCAGAATGGCGTCTTACGCTCTTGGATCTACCCTTTGGTTCTAGAATGTACCGGAACATTCTGGCTTTGAGGGCGGATCTTGATCAAACCTTTTGGTGACAAAACTCAGGCTGGGATGACTCTGTTTAAAGACAGTGGAGAAGGGCCCTTTTGCAGGGTGGGGGTTGTGAAGTTCTGGTGCTTGGATTAGGGGGTGTCAACTCCATTCCAAGTGTTTTTAGTAGAAAATGTCTTTCCTGAAAAACAAATAAGAGTAAATCTGGTCAGCTAAACATTTGTGGTATTGACTACAATTTGTGATGTCAGACTTTGAAGTCATCATGTTTCAAAGAAGTGATGAATTATGTCACTGATATGGGTATCAACGTCTAAGACCACAGAACATATACTGCTTTCATAGAAAAGAGTCCCTTTTGAATGAATTATGGCACTGATAGAAATTTATCCTTAATCAGACTTGATTTTTGAAAATCTTTTCACCTATCTTACTGTTTCAGTTTCAGCTCCAAACAAAACCAAAAGATGGGGTCTAGGGAGGGTAAGATGTACGCAAATCTGACTTCTACCCAAAGAGTAGAGCGGTTGTTTCTTGCAGATCCCCAGCTTGTAAAAAGTGTGACAAAGAGAGATTAAGTGTAAAGATCATCCTATGGCTTCTAAAAGATGAGGACAAGAACAGAGAAATAATAATGAGTCCAAGAACAAGGGTTGTGGCGTAGTGGTTGAGGTCCTGGGGGATGTTGTGGAATATCCCATCTGCCTAGGGTTCGATTCCAGGCGTACACAAATTGACCACTGAGTTTATCAAGGTTGATTTTTTGCAGTCACAATTTGCCGGATTAGTCCGGGCATAGCCTGGGACACCCTTCCAAAAAAACTTCCAAAAAAATGGTAACTGAACTTACGCTCTCTGAAAATTGTGGGCTCGGAATCCCTGCAGCCATTGATCTGAACAATGGAGTTACTTGAAGTGGAGAATTGAATTCTGAATTTGGCAAGGGGCATCCGGCTTCAACGTCATTGTCGAATACATCACAAGATGGTAAAACGTCTGTAGTGGAAACAAAAGTATGTAATTATCTTCAGGGTTACCAAGACATGTCAAAATAATAACACATCCATCCGATAATTCAAACTGGTCATATGGTTTAGGAATGTGTTCTATTTTTCCATCAATCTTTGCAACTATGGGGGAATAGGCAATCCTAACTTGAAAACTTCCCAAAAATCACCAGTGTTGTCTTTTGCTTTTATAGCAGAATTTACCTGGACTAATTACTGTATCAGATGTTACTAAATTTGCATCACCAACAATATCGCTTGGTTGCATTACTTCATGTGGTTGGTGTTCAACTTCACATAATCCATCATGGTGTGGTTCCAATCTCTCATTTATTTGGGAGAGAATGGTCGAGCCCGTGCTATACTCAGAGCTAGACGGTGATCCCTGGTACAAATCAGGTTGCCTAAAGAAACAAATTTTAGAGTTAGAACGTGTTGAAAAAGAAACTACGTCAAGTGCAAAACACAACTCTAGTTCATAATTACTACCTCCAGTACTGCTGACTGCCATCATTACAACTTCTTATGTCCTCAACCAAATCTTTAAAATTCTCAAGTCGAAAACCCATATCAGAAATGTTGAATCCAAGCTCATCGCTTTCTTTAGTGTGCTTAAGAAAATTCTGGACAACCTGATTGTCATATGACATAATGTTTAACATGTTCAAAAGGGTCTGAAGCAATTCACGTGAAGAATGAACTTTTATACTGATTGAAGTGTTTGTTTATCATAAGACAAACACAAGATAGTTACAAAGAAAGAAATTGTTGTGAGAAAGATTTTCACCTTCCAAGCATTTTCAAAACTCTGGTCTGTTTTCTCTGTATGAACTTTAAGTGCAAGTGAGGTAAGCAGTTCTGCTTGTTGCATCAGTACAATAATCTTTGGATCATCCTTCTTGAGAAATGTCCCTTCACCCATATTATAGCTAGCTGCTTTTATCAGACATAAAAACTTATTAGCTATTTAGCTTTGCTTACAACTTACGTTCTATTCATGCATCAAATGTTTACAATCTTTGTACATTTTGATTTGAATTCTAAAATCCTATTCGTGGAAGAAGTTTGCAAGGTGAATTACCATCTTTTGGGATTTCCTTATTGCTAGAATGAAGCTGAATTTTAGAATCATCAATGTTGTGACAGTTAAGTACTGCAAATGGAGGTCTTAGTTGCTGGCCTCTAGTTCTGCAGTTCCGAATCAATCCTTCTTCAGGACTGCAATCTTCCATGGCACCAGCAATATGTTTCCTCCTAAACCAGAACAGAGGTACTAGTCTCAGAAGTTTTTTTCTGATATCAGATATCATACATATGGGAAAGTAACTCTACATCAAGCATACCGAATCTTCAAAGGAGGCATTGAAGTTTCTATCTTTTGTCCATCGTGGAACATGGTCCTTTTGTTGTTTGCATTGATGTAAGAAATATTATTCTCTTTTGCTAATGCTTCATGCTTTGCTCTTTTCTTACACAAGGTGGAGAAGCGATTCTTCACAGCATTGTCAGTCCTGTCTCATATATGAAAACTGAACAACTTACTTCTACTTCTATTTTAAGTTATATGATACAAGACTAACAATCAAATAGAAACCTTTACCTGCCTGAAACGACTTTTGCTATCTCAGTCCATCTGTTGCCAAATATCCTCTGGGCCTGCATACCATCTTTGATATCAGATTACCTCATTTACTGTCTTAAATGGTCATCTGTGATGGAAAAACTAGATACTTCAGCACCTTGCAGAAGCATTCTTGAATCCATCCTAGACAATATTGTAGCATAGGATGAACTCTTTTGTGCAATATGTGTATTATAATTAACTCTCAGAGGGCTTATAAGGGGTATGTATCTTCGTTTGCCTTGCAATAACTCGGACACAGATGATGATTTATTAAAGGAACCACAAACCATCAAAGGGGGATTTTTGTAAACTTTACCTCACATAAGAGCATGTCTTCCTCTGGTGACCATCCTCCTTTCTTGAAATCAGAATTCAAATAAGTGAACCATCTGCATTTATAAAGTTGTACCCAAATCCAATATTAGTATAGCATAAAAGAAAGGTCAAACATAAAAGGATTAGGAGAAAGAAAAAATAGCACAAATACACAAATATGACTCTTTCCCTTTTCAAATACCTTCTTCTGCATTGCCTGGTGGTTTTATCCTTGAACTTTGATGCAATGATTGTCCAACTGCAGATAAACATCCATCAATTTCATCAAGCCAAATTATTTCAATTTGATCACACAATTTAAGATGAGAAACTTAAGGAAAGTGAATCATACTTGTCAGTTCCATGGATACTGATTTGCTCTCTTAATATATCATCCTCCTGAAGGCCACACAATCCATGATTAACATAAAGATCATAACCCACAACAACAAGCACAAAAAAAATACATATGAATCAAGATAGATTAAACTGAACCTCTTGAGACCAAGAAACGATATGCCTCTCTTTCTGCTTCAAAGCTTCACCAACACCATTGTTACCATCACAAGCTTTCTTCTTAGTATTCTGCATCTTTTAATAACACCACCTCTCTCCTTTATCTAGAAAACCCAGTTCTCGCATGCTAAAGTGGGAGACTCTTTTGGCGTTTATGTATGGTGGATTGTCTGTCTACTGTGTTGTGTTTATATAAATTTAAAAATCAAGAAAAAGGGTAATTAAAGAGAGGCAAAAGGAATTCCAAATTCCCCTCTTTTCAAGGGGAAAACTTTATAAGTTACTGCTCACTTACTTCAAACGGGACGCATGGAACCAAACACCAACGCCATGCGTCGAATTTGCCTTGGATTCGAAACTTTTTGATTGAATCAAAAAATCAAACACCTTTGATGCAACCAACAGAATCCAAAATTAGAACAACTAGAAAGTTGGAACTCAACAATTCAAAAGGGAACTATCTCTGCGACGAGTCCAATCACAAACAAAAACAAAATCAAATTAAACCCACGAAACTATACGCTACCTTTTTGTATGGTATATCTCGAGAATCGAGAAAGACGATTTCCGTAGATCTGAGAGTTCGAGCCTACTGTTTATACGATGAAACAACTGTAGAGTTTGTCGAATGAATTGATAATAATTGATCCAATTGCTGGAACGGAACGTTGTGGTGGTGGGGTTTTGAGAAGGCGGGTATGAGGAGTAGTTTGAAAAAGAAACACACACACACACACACACGGAAATCCACGAGATAGAAGTCCACCATTAATTGAATGAATTGATGATGGTGTACAAGACTCGATCACCCCACGTCCGCCATACACACACTAGTATGTGAATTTAAACTTAACATGATGCAATTCGTGACTCAACTACAAACACCAAGACGATGATTTCAATCTCTCCATTTTCAATTACTTACGCTCTTCGGCTCTTGGGCTGGTGGCGTGTGTGTTCAATCATGTGGGTCTGTGTGATTTTGTGTAAATGTCGATTTTCAAATCTTCCTCATTTACACTTTCATCCCTCCAAGTCTCCAAAATTTCAAAAGTAACCACTATATATATTCTTTTATAAATTTCACCCCTTTAATCGTACTGAATCTTGTATTTTTCAAGACTTTTAAAGCAAACGGTTACAAGTTTATGACTTAAAAGTTGTTTGTTTATTTCTTAATAGTTTCATTAAGAGACATTCTCTAAATTGTTAAGAGGTGAATCTTGTTTGACAAAAAAATATGTCTCTTAATGGCTCTAAAATCCTTTAAATGATTTTGTATCATAGGTCTTCCTTAACCATTCAGCGCCCTAATTTCATTGTAAACAATTACTAAACAATTATATTTCAGTTTGCACTATATCATAAGAGTCTATTAATCATTTTGAACCAAACCATTTTGCAATTGACAAACAGTCCCTTAGTTATCTTTTCCTAAAAAAACAGTAGATAGAACAAAAGTCAAAACTTAACCATTGTTTGATTGGTTTTTCATCAAGTCTTGCATAGATAAAGTTATTTGTGTGAATCAATAAAAAAGTTTTTCATAGATGTGGAAGAAACCTGTTCTTTAATTGAAATTGACATGTTTAGAAAAAAAAAACCTTGACTTTCTACATAAAGCTTCTCTCAGACACTTACTGAATAAAATCACTATCTATATCATTAATTCACTATCAAACAATCATATATAATTGACTAAATAAGTTGTGAATCATATTAAGTTTGTGAAACTGTCCTTAAACTCAGTAATTCAAAAAGACAGAAACACGATGTATTAATATAATTTATGAAATATTAAATGTAAAACAAAATATTGAAATTGGTACAAGTCTTTGGGAGATAATTAAACCTACTCCACTTCAAAGATATTAAAGCCTATTTAATTATATGCCAGAAAAAAACTAATAATAATAAATAATAATAATAATAATAATAATAATAATAAAATACTTGAATGGATATGCACCAAACTTTGATAGGTAGGAGCTAATTGAGTGCATACCCAACTTGTACTTTGTGCAAACCCAACTTGTACTTTGTGCATACCCAACTTGTACTATTATCAACTTCATCGTTATTTTTTAATTCAGCCAACCATAAATTTCAACGACTTAATACCATTTGTCTTTATACAATTAATTTATCTAAAATTAAAATCATGTTTTTGCTTAATTATAAAAATATTTCAAATATTTAAGTGAGAGTGTTTGTTTACCTCTTAATAGTTCCATTGAGAGATGAATTTTATTTGGTAAAAAAAAGTCTGTCTTTTAATAGTTCAAAAACTATCCGAATGATTTTGTATATTGGGCATCATTTAACCATTCAGCACCCTAATTTCATTCTTAATAATTACCAAATAATTATATTTCATTTTGCACTATATTATAAGAGTCTATTAATCATTCTGACCACTTAATCATTCAACACTAAACCATTCAACACTTAAAGATAGATTCATATGTGAATCATTAAGAAAAAAACTTTTATGAACTCATATAAACAATCTGTAACATCGGTTCTCACACACACATATATATAGGTGGAGGTTCAAACGAAACACCTCTATTTTATAAGAATGCGAGAACATCCTTATCACATGTGATAATACTTGTGAGGGAGCCCTTACACCAAGATCGTATCGAAAATCGTCTGCATTTTTAATTTAGTATCACATGTGTATCGTAGTTATGAAATAATAGTATCACATGTTATTTTCTACAGTAAAAAGATGTTTTTGCATTCTCATAAAATGAAAGTGTTATCGTTTGAACCATTATATATATATATATATATATATAATTTGAAAACTATGCAAAATATATTCAATGGCAGTCTTATTCTTTCTTTTCTTGACAACGAAATTTCCCGCCAAAAATCAGAATGAATCCAACTAACAAAAATACAAGTATAGTAAAAGGAGGACCATCTCTCTATTTTCACGAAACACTACCTCCCTCATCGCTTCGATTATTATTTTCTGGTCCTGGCCCACACCCGTTACAAACCTTATTGACGTAATCATCTCAAAATCAAATAACGTTATTACGTAACCAATTATTAAAATACAAAAAACTTGATTTTGTTGTATGCAAACTAATCGTTTTTGTAACATAATAAAAAAAACAAAACCCCAAATTCTAATTTCTTTTGTCGAGTCTACAAACAACAATCAGATATATTGTTAACGACGCTATCAGTGTCCGACAGAACTGATTTATTCATATAATACAAATGAAATCAGATACTACTAAAATAAAATGAAAAGATAACACATATATATGGTTGTTTGTGTTTGTGGGTAGGAATAATCTTTCAAAATAATGTGACAAATGAAGAGAAAGAAAAGTAGGAAAAGGTCGGTGAAGTTTGTCCCACAAGCACCCATCAAACACCAACATAACCCCTAAAATAAGGAATTTTTGGGTCGTTTAAACTTTACGGTTTTATTTGACGACTATTGATTGTAATATCTGATAGAAATATTTATATATATATATATATATATATAATATAACTGGAAGTAAATTTTAGTGGAACTGATTTATAACTGGGATGTGTTTAAACCAATCAACGTACGTATACGCATACTGGAAAACCATAGATGTTAAACTGGATTTTTCCGTGAATACTTTTCTACCAGATTGGTTTATGTACTTGTGGGTAGAGTAGGTCTGTACACGTCGTACTCTTTACAACATTTTGGATGTCTTCGATTGAGCCAAAACCTGGTAGAATCTCGTGAACAGTCTGTAAACAATAATTCTACTTTAGATTTGTTTGACGAAAACTTTAATTTTGTTTATAAAACATAAATTGTGATTCTGCTTTAGATTGGATTGGCTTATAACTTTTTCAATGCAATGAAGCATGTGTAGGAATGAATAGTCCTTGGTTGCATCTTGTTCATCTTTCAAACTATGCATCTTGACTTCATATGGGTATCTTTACTCTTATTAAAATTAGAAGGGTATTCGCGCAATACAACGAGATATATTTTGATTTTAATGTTTCATTTTATTACGTCTTTGTAGTTGTTATAATACGGTTTTTATGTGGTTTTTGAGAAAAAGATAATGTTTTTATTAAAGCTAGAAGGATACTCGCACAATACAGTGAGATGTATCTCGATTTTAATGTTTCATTTTATTCCGTCTTTGTAGATGTTATAATACGGTCTTTATGTGGTTTTGAGAAATGGATAATGTTTTTATTTTTGAATAAAATATATATTTGAAGATGTCATAAAATTTCGAAAATAAATATATCAATATTAGTATCAAATTAACTATTTAAAAATTCTTTTTTTTTGTGTAATTTCTTTAATTCAATTTTTTTATTAAATATTACTTCTCTCTCTATCTCTCTCGTACACATTTCATTTCAATATTTCTTATTGGTGGAAAATAATTTAAATATTATTTCCCTCTCTTCTATAAAATTTTAGAGATTCTTCCATATCTAAAGATTTCTACCTTATCTCTATTTATTATCGCTATCGAAGCAAAAAAAAATCATAAACCTTCAAAACTTTCCATTTTAACATAGTTGTCGGAGATGTTCTTAAGTTGCCATCATTTATCAATTTACAAATACAACCTCACATATTAAGCTTCATAATAATTTTCCTTTGAAACTTCACATATAAAGGGGTTGTTTGTTTATCTCTTAATAGTTTCATTAAGAGGCAACCTCTGAATCGTTAAGAGGTGAATCTTGTTTGGCAAAAAAAAATCTGTCTCTTAATGGTTCTAAAACTCTCTGGATGATTTTGTATCATGGATCTTTCTTAACCATTCAACACCCTAATTGCATTGTAAACAATTATCGAACAATTATATTTCATTTTGCACTATATCATGGGAGTTTTTTTAATCATTTTGACCACTTAATCATTCTACACAAAATCATTCAGCAACTGCCAAACAACCCCTAAAACTCCACACAAGGCTACACAAAATCACATGTGATTAATGAACAATCAAATCTTTGAGGTAGTTATACCAAGTGTGTATGTGTGTGCCCTCTAGCTCCTAGGTTGACCGTTCATTGATCATATGTGATATTTAGTATAAAATTACACGTAATATAGATTTTCCTATGTTCTTATAGATTGTTTTTTTGAAGTATATAAACTCACACATTTTCCTCATCTTTGGTGAGGTTTGAACCCCTGATCTACTAGAAGGTTAAGGACTACGATACCATTAGGCCTAATATTATTTGGTTCTTATAGATTGTTCATTTTCTTATTTAAACCAAATCCTACATATGTACATATCTTTTGAATTAGTCCAACTTGTCTCTTTAAGTATCACAATTAAAGATTCAAACATTTGCCCACCTTGTCAAATCCATTTCATACTTTCATGATTCTTTTTCTTTTATAATAATAAGCAGATTCATGTATTTATGTGTGTTCGATGGCCGGGTCTGCCAGTTAAAATATTTATATCATCTTAAACACGTTTTAATTAATCATTAGAACGATTCCAAATAACACAGAAACTTGAGTTGACAAATGACTGGGCCTTCCTGTTATCAAGAAGAAGATCGATGACACAAATCCACTTAAAATCGTGCTGAATCAGTCATAAAGTATGTATTTTTTAGGATTTATATTATGTAATGAGATGATATATTATGAAATTGATGATAATTTATATGGGTTTTATAAGTCTTTGTTGATCCCAAGAAAACAAGAAGGGGAATTTAAATTATGTTATAGGAAAAAGAATTGATTAGAAAATTGCAAAAAGAAAAGGAAGGAGCGTTTTATGTGTAGGTTTAGCCCCATCCAAAATATAATTTTCTCTCATGCCATTTCCCCACTTTTATACTCTTCATCATTATCATATATATATATATATATATATATATATATATATATAAATAAAGA